CAAGATTTTCTAGGCTTTCCCTACTTTTTCCATTGAATCGGCCATTTCTCCAAGGAACCTTGGAGAAACCAAGGAACTTTGGTTTCTTTTAGCCAGGAGTGGTAGTAAGAAACCAATGTCTGGTATTGCCTCTGGGGTGTGCTGGAAAACATGAGGGAGGTCATGGTTATAGATCTAAAATTAGAAATCATTAGCATATAGATGACCCATATAGCTTTGGGACTAAGTAAGATTACTCAGGGAAAAGTGCAGAGAGACCCAGGATCTCCGACATTAAAGAAAAATAGCCTGAGAAAAAGATATTTGTAGTAATATGGCTCAGGGTTTTTAATGTCTATATCCATAAAGTGCTTATGTAAGTAGGTAAGAAATAATTAAGACCCCACTGAAGAATAAAGGGTCATATCAGACCTGTCATGTAACTAAAATGAGAATTAGTGTGTCAACATGAGGAAAGATATTCAACCTGACTTACAAAAGAAATGCAAATTAAAACAGGATGCAGTTTGGGGTAACTGCCTTGTTTTTTTCCAAATATTTAGTTGGACATTTTTCAAATTTATAGAAAAGCGGACAGAGGAGAATAACAAACATCTGTATACCCATCATCTAGATTCAACATTTGTTAACATTTTGCTGCTTACTCATCTTTCAACACACATAACCACAACACCCACACTTTTTTCCCTGCTAAACCACTTGAAAGAAAAGTTGCAGATAGCCTGACATTTGATTCCTAAATATTTCAACATGTATTTCCTTATATATGTCCTTATGTAGGCCATTTAAGGATTTAAAATGGTTTTTCAATTGTAGTAAGAGACACATAACATAAAATTTGCCATCTCAACCATTTTTAAGTGCACAGTTCAGTAGTGTTGACTATATGCACATTGTTGGGCAACAGATCTCCAAAACTTTTTCATCTTGCAAAAGGAAGCAACTCTCTATTTCCCCTTCCTCACGGAAAATTAATTTTAATTCAATAATATATCTAACATACAGTCCATATTCGAATTTCCCCAATTGTCTCTGAAAAAGCATTTACAGCAGTCTCTTTAACTGCCAAGTCTCTCCAGACTCGTTTATTCTAGAAGAGTCTCCCTGCCTTATTTTTGCTTTTCAAGATATTGCTTTTCTTTAAGAGGCCAGCTGTCTTGTGGAAGGTCTCATGTTCTGGATTAGTCCAATTTTTCCTTCTGATTACATCCAGACTAAACATTTTTGGCAAGAACATTCTGTAGGTAACACTGTGTACTTCTTGTTGTCCCATATCAGGCAGAACGTAAGGCTGGGTTTATGCCGGGTTCTTCACTATTCCCTGGACTATGTTTGATCATTTGGTTAAGGTTGTTGGCCAGGTCTCTCATAGAGATACTTCTTCCCTTTGGAATTAATAAGCAATCTGTGGTGATATTGTGAGACCATGTCTACATTCTGTTTCCCAACACCCTTTCACACAAGTATTAAATCACAGGTTGCAAAATGATTTTAGAATTGGTTTTAAATTTATTATCTGGCATTCTACTGTAAAGAAACCTTTTTCTTCCTCGTCCTCTTTCTCTTTCTTATTTATTCGTTATCATAATGCCCTTATAAATTTCTGTATTCAATCATTACCATCCACTACTGCCCTTATTCTTTTTGATGCTTATATTGTCAGATTTGGCCTATGGGACACCCGTCAAGCTGTGGTTTTTGACATGACCTCATTAGTCTTTGAGCATTTTCTTACTTTCTGACACAACAGAATTTTCCAGACTGATGTCATATTTTCTCTGTCCTTGACATGGAATCACTCGTTTCCCCAAGGTACCCTGTTCCTTTTCAGGAGGAATGGTATTCAGAAATCATCATCTGAGCTCTAGGTGTGTTCATTTCTGCAAGTGCATGTCCTTGTTTCTAAGCACTCAGATTTATTTATTATTTCCCATTCAAATCCAGCAGCACAAGGTTTTCCCTTAGCCTCCCCCCATTCCATGTTTGTGTCTCTCTCTTATACATGGTGAAAACTCTGACTCATAAAAACACTAGTGTATTCATTAATTCTTTTTTTTTTTAAGTATGTGTTTACACCCATCATGGGGCTTGAACTCACCACCCTGAGATCAAGAGCTGCATGCTCTACTGAGTGAACCAGCCAGGCACCCGTATTCATTAATCCGATCTAACTCGTAATATACACAAAATTGTTTCAAAATTACATCACCAATACCACTACTTACCACAAACCTACTGTAAGTCTAAAATTTCTTTGCCATTCCTTTTGTTCTCAGAATATACCCCACTAAAAAATATGAAGAGTGCTGTGTTCAAAAGTTAGTTGAATTTATTTTTTCTTTCCCAAGCTATTCATTTGTTATACACTTATATTCAGTTGTTTCTGTTTTTATCTAATCTTAGTGTTTATTGGGGAGCTTGGCTGGCTGGCTGCCTCAGTCTGTTGAGTGTTTGACTTTCGGTTTCAGCTCAGGTCATGATCTCAGGGTTGCGGGATCAAGCCCCACCTTGGGCTCTATGCTGAGCATGGAGCCTGCTTAAGATTCTTTCTCTCTCTCTCTCTCTCTCTCTCTCCGTCCCTCTCCCCTATGTTCTCTCTCTCTCAAATTAAAAAAATGATATAATCTTAGGGTTTGTTTATAATACACTTGTTTATTTTTTGAATATGTAAAACATTCAGGAAATTCAAAAGTTAAAACTACAGAAAAGGTATACTTAGAGAAATCTTTCTTCATTCCTTTTTCCTCCACTCTATTTGCTCCTACACTCTTGATGGAACAATTTTAAATACATTTTTAAAATTTTTTCAATTAAAACAATTTTTAAATACATCTGCATTTTTAATGTACATATGAAGTAACTCCATATAAATTCATAAGATCTTCCTCATACAAGAGGCAGTTGGGTGGCTCAGTCAGTTGTGTGTGTGACTTCAGCTCATGTCCTGGTCTCACAGATCATGGGTTTGAGCCCCACATTGGGCTTTGTGCTGACAGTGCAGAGCCTGCTTCAGATTCTCTGTCTCCCTCTTCCCTGCCTCTCCCCTGCTCTCTCTCTCTCTCAAAAATAAATAAGCATTAAAAAAAAGAAAAAAAGATCTTCCTCATACTAGACGTTGTGCTCTAGGACCAAAAAGAATATAAAGATGAATGATATGCGAACTGTGGGAGAGCAGGGAACCAAGGTGAAAAGATGGGACATGTATAACTTTTATAAAAATGAAAACTTTCTGACAAGAAAGCAGATGGACTTGTAAAAATTCAGAGAAATCTTTCACGAAGGAAGAAATGGTAAAGCCGTGTCCCATGAGACTGAGAGGTCACAGAACAGGAGGGTCAAGAACTGACCAAGAGGCAGCCATTGGTGACTTCACCAGAGGGGTCACAGGGAATGATGGCGATGGAAGAATAATTGAACTGGAATGGATTATAGAGGGACTGGGAGGTCAGGAAGTAAGACATCAGCACAAGCATGTCTTCTAAGGGGCATTTCACAAAGCAGAATAGAGAAATGGGGCTACAGATAGAGGCAAACTTGATGCAAGACCCTTTTTTGGTAACATGAGAGATACTATCTACCACATGCTTGGGTGCTGATGAGAGTGATCCAGGTATGAGAGAGAAAAAAGACAATTGCAAGAGCAAAGTCCTGAACATATAGAAGGGGATAGAATCTAGTGCACAAATGGACTAGCATTTAGTAGAAGCTTAAAAATATATATGTTGAATGAAAAAGACATGGTAAGTAATGGGCTCTTTCCTCAAGTCGATCAAGTCCAAAGATGGAAGACAGTTGGGTGAACCACACACCAGAGTGCAAACACCACCACCTGAACTGTTGCTTGATGAGAGCGCGCAACTTTTAGGGACAAGCAGCACCTTCTCAATGATGAGGCTTCTCAGAGCAGGGGGTATCTGCTGACTGTCAAAGACAAGAAAGTGAAGCAGAGGATTCTGATAGAGAGAAAGGATGTCAGTTCAGCCTGAAGAAACAACAGGAACAAAAACAGTTGACATATATGGCTTGTGCTTTCACTTCATAAAACTTATTTTTACTACAGCCAACATCAGACACAAATGGGGTTTTCTTACAAATACTTGTGGCTAAGGTGTATTGATGCCACTCTTAATCCACAGCTACTGTAGGAAGACCACGGTTTCAGATCCTGTCTCTGAATATACTATTGGTTGGTCCTGAAGAATTTCATGTGGAATCCTTTCCGGCCACTCTCATACACAAGCCGTAGATTTCTTGAACACACTACATGCAAGGAGTGTTCTCATCTACCAGAGAGAGGCAGCATCTTTATTGACTAGTGGACAGAAACGAGCAGATTATTTAAACTTTTAGTCTCAGTTTCTCATCTGCAAATAGGGATGGTCATACCCAGCTTGCAGAGTTTTGTGAGGATTAAAGTAGACAATCTAACTGAAGTGCCTACCCCGTGTGTGGAACAGACTATGTGGTCAATAAATGGTCATTTTTGGTTTCAAATATATTGATAGTTACCATGTACTGAGTACTTAGGATTATGTCCAGTATAGCTCTAAGTGCTTAGTAGGTATTAATTCACTGAATCCCCACAGCATCTTATGAAGTAGACATTATCACTGCTTCTAGTTCTAAAAACACGATCAGCAAGGTAGGCAAGCAGTAGAGCAGAGATGTGAGATGAGTCAGGATGGCCTTAGAGCTTTGCTTCTCCTCTGCTGGGCTGTACTGACTCTCTAATAATTAATGGCATCACACCAGTTCCAGAACCAGATCAATCTGTTATCCCAGATCCATTTCCCTTTTTAAAAAAATTTTTAATGTTTATTTATTTTTGAGAGAGAGAGAGAAAGAGAGAGCAAGCCAGGGAGAGGCAGAGAGAGAGGGAGATACAGAATCCGAAGCAGCCTCCAGGCTCTGAGCTGTCGGCACAGAGCCTGACGCGGGGCTAAAACTCATGAACCGCAAGATCATGACCTGAGCCAAAGCCAGATGCCCAACTGTCTGAGCCACCCAGGTGCCCCCCATTTCTCTATTTAACAAGGAATCCAGGAAGTAAGGCAGTGGGGTTAGGAATTGTTATGGTTTTCACAACCACGAGAGCTGGCAAGAAATGTGGAAAATGATCCACACATTTCATTCACATGAACAAACTGAACAAACTGCCTTCGCTCACCAGTCATTACTCCAATAATAAAATGCAACACACTTTGTCCTTTTTGCAGTTAAAAATTTAACATTATTCGAGAATAGGCAGAAATGTCTAGGGACTTAGCCAGCCAAACGCTTACCCAGGCCTGCAAAGAAATATAAACAAAAATTGTCATTGCAGTACATTTTATAATATTGAAATATTAGAAGCCACCCACATATCCTTCAGTAGGGGCCTAACTAAAGTGTAGTATGTCCACAGCTTTCAACACAGTTGAGGTCAATTTAAAGATAAAAAGTTTTCATCTGTAATGTGAAGTGAAACAGCAAGGTATAGAACCGTGTGTCTAATTTGATTCCACTTTTAAAAACGAACGCATATGTTAGTATATACGCCTTAAAACCTGGAGCAATGCTCAACAAACCCTTCGCGGTAGTTATAAGGAAGGAGTTACAGATGACTTTTGACTTCCTAAATTATACATTTCTGGATTGTTTGAATTATTTACAAGCACCTATTCACTTCTGGTATGAGAAGAAAACAATACATGTTTAAATAAGCAGAAATGGCAAAGTCCATCAGAAGTGGAGCAGGGAAGAATACAGCCTGGAGCGCGGCTCTAATCTCTCAGTCTGTGAACTCCTGCCTCATTTCCTGGCAGCAGAGTTTTATGACTGGCTGGCTCTCAACACATCCTTTTGCCAACAGGACACTGGCAAGCAGGGTCGTTAGAAACCTTCCTTGAGAGAACTCTAACAAAAGTGTAAGCGGCATTACAACTTGGAAATATGGCCAAAGGGAAAAATCCATAAAAAACACCCATCCCCCTTGTCTCTATGCATGGTAGGAAATGTGGCTGTTAAGCCAATGAAAGGAATTAGGATCCTGATGAAATCACACCGGTTTGGCTGTGGAAAAAAACAAGAGACGTTAAGTGCAATTCATCTTTAGAGAACTCCAGCCTTCCCATCAGGCCTCGGAAACTACAGAGCCATAAATGCAACAGAGATAAGATAAATAATCACTAAAGTAGCTGACTTTTTTACACTGAGGCACCAATTTCAGAGTCTTTCGCATCCATTTTATGCCACATTGTGTATCTGCTCCATCCAGAAACTCTGGGAAACGGGTTTTTCAAGAGGAGGCCCTTAGGAAGAGACACAGCAGGACCAGACCCCAGAATGACCCACTGGAGCCAGTGCCATGTCCACTAGCAAAGAGGGTCATCCTAGAATTAGGTGGTATAATAATGAGTACAATTCATTTTTAGGCAAATATACCCCTTCCCGAAAAGTCAGATAAACAATGCATCCATCAAAGAAGAAAGACTAATAGCAGGTGAACAATGAAGAAAATGCAAAGGAAACTGAGTCTCTGAATGAAGCCATGGATGAGGGGAATCATTGGTCAGCCCAGCTTTCCCCAAATCTTACAGAGGGGCATGGGGCCCATATGGGTGTGGTGACAATGCTCTGGAGGGTCTCCGGCCTGTAGGCACATGGTACGGTCCCCTCTCCATTCCATCACCATGTCGGCTGGACCACCACCAAAGTAGTCCTGATACGCAGAGGGGAGAATGGGGGCATTGGGAAAGCAGCCCCTCCCCTGACAGCCAGTCTCATGTGAGGACTGCAACCCCTCCCCTGGAAGCTAAAAAGGCCACCACCAGGGCCTCTGGGATGGCAAATGTTTGTTTCACAAAGGCAAAAAATGAGATGCAAAATCATTATGTAAATTCCTCATAATTCCTTTGTGATTGAGTGACAAAAACAGGAATAAAATTTACCATTTCTCAACTCCAACTTCAGTGTCAGGGCTCAATATGGAGAAGTCTTGGGGTGCCTGGGTGGCTCAGTCAGTTGAGCATCCGACTTCAGTTCAAGTCATGATCTCATGGTTCGTGGGTTCAAGCCTTGCATCAGGCTCTGTGCTGACAGCTCAGAGCCTGGGGCCTGCTTCAGATTCTGTCTCCCTCTCTCTCTCCGCCCCTACCCTGCTTGCGGTCTGTCTGTCTCTCTCAAAGATAAATAAACATTTAAAAAAAAAAATTTTTTTTCAAATGGAGAAGTCTGAGGACTTGAGTGCAGCCCACACCTCATTTTAATTCTCTTTGAATATACAGGCATAAATTTTACCATTGTTCTTTTTCTTATTGGCTACTTTTGCTTCCTTCCTACTCTCACACTGAACGGAGTTCATGACTATTAAGCAAAAGAAGGGAAAGGGAATAAATTGATAAAATTAAAGTAGATAAAAATATGATTTAAGGGGCGCCTGGGTGGCGCAGTCGGTTAAGCGTCCGTCTTCAGCCAGGTCATGATCTTGCGGTCCGTGAGTTCGAGCCCCGCGTCAGGCTCTGGGCTGATGGCTCAGAGCCTGGAGCCTGTTTCCGAATCTGTGTCTCCCTCTCTCTCTGCCCCTCCCCCGTTCATGCTCTGTCTCTCTCTGTCCCAAAAATAAATAAACGTTGAAAAAAAAAATTAAAAAAATATATGATTTAAATAGTTTCTAAAATGGGGGTGTATTATTTTTTAATACGGCATTGTTCCAATAGTTTTGATGCTGCATTATAGGTACAAAACTTTAGTTTTTAAAAATTAGAAAAATAAAAAAAAATTAGAAGGATATGTTTTCTTCTCAGTCCTCAGCAGGCCCTCTATAAAGGAAAGCCTCTCCCAAGCCAACATTCCCAATTAAGGCTTTCATAAATAGACAGACAGTTTGGAAATAAGAAGAAAAATTACCCTGAGTCTACTTCCCCAAAGCAAACCCAGGTTTTCTTAATGCTTTCTTTCCACTAGCAAATGGCACAGCCTGAAAACAGACATGCAGAGACATGCTGTCTTTACAAATGAGGACCAGAACCCACAAGAGGCAAAATCCATTATTCTTCTCTTAACCATGCAGGAACCACAGATCCACAAAATGTGTGTGTACATTTATACCATGGAATACTATTCAGCAATAAAAAGGAACCAAAATACTAATAAGGAAGGTTACAGCAGGAATCAACCTCAAAAACATTATGGTAAGTGAAAGAAGCCAGTCACAAAAGACCACACCACACTATAATTCCATTTATATTAAATGTCTAAAATAGATCTCTAGGGACAGGCAAAGGATTAATGGCTGCCTAGGGCTGGGGTAGGATGGAAATGAACCGTTAAGCAGGCACAAGAGATCTTGCTGAGGTGATGAAAATGGTCTAAAACTGGATTATGGTGATGGTCACACACTCACTAAATTTACTAACAGTCATTAAAATGTTCACTTTGAGTAGATTTTACAGTATGTAAATCACATCTCAATAAAGTTGCTTTAAGAAATGCAAGAGTCCCTTGCAACTGTAAGGTTGCCAGATTTAACTTCACATTCCTGCTAGTGTTTGAACCACAAAATGACACACTTCGTATCATTTTTGTAAAATTATATTATGTCTTGAGACTTGCCACAGAAAAGCCCCAGAGGCAAGTCCAAATAACAAAATCCCATTTTTTTTTTTTCATTTAGCAAAACTATATCTTCTCACACACTTCCCCTCTGCTTGCTGAAGATAACTTTGGTTTGTTTACTTTTTATGAGAAGTTCGCAATTGTCTGAACACTAGTTTCACTTAACTTGGCTGCAGAATAATTTACTTTTGGGTGGTCAGATGTGACATCCAAGTGTTACTGAGTATGGAGTCAAATTTCTTTAAACTATGGCATTCAATCCTGTTTTTCTCATTTGGCTTAAAAGCAATTCAGAGGTTTTGCCAGTCTTAAAAATATTTAGGGATGATTCTTTATTTGTATTTTATTTTGTAAAGTATTTATATTTTATGAAATCTGAGGATATTAATTCATTCGTTTAAAATATGCAGATAAATGTATGTACAGGATTTCAGCCTTGTTGGTAGCAGTAAAATATTATTCATAAATAGGGAACTAGTTAAATTAGTATACATCCAAACATGTAGCTATTAAAAATATGGAGCAAAATCTATAGGCATTGGTATGGAACTACCTCCAACATGTATTGTTAAGTAAAGAAAGATGTGGAACAGCATACTTGGTATGCTACCCTTTGTATTTTATTTTTAAAATAATATATCTAAGCATAGATACATCAGATTAGTAAAAGTATGTTCTTATAAGAAAGGGAACTCAGTATTTGGGAGTTTGCCCTGTTAGGGCCGCTAGCTTTTCAGTACATATTCTTTAGTACTGTTATAATATTTACCATGTATGTTATCATCCACTGAAAAAATTTTTCATGTTTTACGCCTTTACCCCTACATTTGATAAACCATAACAAAATGTATTTTAAATACTCTAACAACTTCTGTCCAAATACAATAATAATGACATACAATAAGAACTCTAAGCAAATTTTAATACATGGATTAATAAGAAAGTTATTTGAAGACTTCAGTTTCTCCATCTTGAAAACAGAGATATTATTATGAAGATTGATGGAATAACATTTGTAAGATTTTATAAGATGCACAATCATTGAGATGGAGTTTTGCAGGGGCAGCTCACTCTTGGAATGTAAGTAAATTGAGTTCATCTATAGAAGCAATAGATCTCTCTGTACTGGACATTTGTTACTTACTCATCATTGGATCCTTCAGGTTGAATTGGACTTGACTTATGGTGATCAATTATGTCTTTTTGTGTTACAGGACCAAATTCATTATCAGATCCTTGGGGACTAAGTTTAGCATTAAATATGTTTGTAGTAGCGGACAAATTCATAATCTGCCTGTCAATTCACTCCACTACCTAGTCATTCTTCTGCCTATACAATTAATTTAGCTGAAGAAAACAGTAATAAACACATCTTAAAATTACGATGGCACATTATAGTTCGTAAAGTCACTTTTACATATTTTATTGCATTCGAGCATCTTGACAACCCCATGGAGGAGGCAAGACAGACATTGTTATGTCTGCCTCACAGATGGTCATAGATTACCTAATCAATCAGAAAGCAGAGAGCTAAGATTAGAATCAGAAATGGTATGTTTGTGTGTGTATAAAATCTGTTTTTTGAATTAGAACATACAGACAATCTTTCAACTTCCCAGTTTCTGGGTTTTGTGAATGGAATTCACATAGACATTGTTTCATTTGCAGTTTGAACTTACCCTGACAATTATATCATCTAAATTCACATGGGTGGCCAAAGAGTGTTCTTGTGCGACAGGGACCATTCATTTTTATAGTCTCATTTATGACTCACGGATTTGTGTGGGTGTTAAAAAGAAAAATCCAGAGAAGGAGGAATGGGAAAAGATTTCTCTCTATATTTAAATACAAATAATAGAAAGAGGCTGAGCTAAGTTATAAATAACGACGAAGTGAAATGTTCTCCGGAAAATCCATGGCAATAGCATTACTGCTGCCTGAGAAATGTGACTTCAGAAAACTCTGCTTCAGAAAACCTATTCATTGCAAAATAAACGCTTTGTTATTACTATTATTACATCAGGTTGTTGTCCTGAATTTTTTCCAGGCTTACAAATGTAATAATTGGTTTTATACATTTCAGTGACTCAAGACATACGGTTCTTAATATATATCATGTATTATTAGGAAGAGCAACTTGAACTGTCATTTGGTTATTGCTCTGGATTGGGGTGGATTTTCGCTATTTTTTGCAGCTAGGTGTGAAGACACGTTTATTATTTTAAACATTAACCAGTAATTGTATGACAAAGAAAATACTATTAGGTTCAAATAATCATTAATATTCTTATACGCACACATTAATAAAGATATTCAATAGTATGCCCAAGGCCAGAACCTGGAGACTGACAATATCCATGACATTGATATGCTTTTGTTGCAGTATTTTTCAAGATTTAATGACATTAATTAATTTAGCTTGCTTTTGGACCTTGTCTAACTTGTTAGAAGAAAGC